GAGTCTTCTTCATTTTCTAGATCTTGTTCCTCTATATTTACTTCTTCATCATTATTGTCTTCTTCTTCACTTTCTTCATCATCATCATCTTCTTCTTTACCTTCCTTTTCTTCTAGAGATTTGTCCAGTATAAGTAAATTTTTCATGTCTTCATTCATATTTTTATATCTTTCTGAACATTCTTTATAAAAGTTACTAATAAATGGATCGGAGCTCAGTAATAGTCTTTTAAATAAATCTTCATTTGTTTGAAGTCTACCACATTTTCTTGTGTGACACTCTCTAAATCTGCGTACTTGTTTGTTTTTTGCTTCTTGATAAATAAGATCCACAATTATGTGTTAAGTAATCTTTGACTGCCAATTTTTTGGTTAAGGCGCACGTTGGCGCAAGATTTCTTTCTTATGCTATGTACACCATACCTTCAGCAATAAAAAAATGTTAGCTACAATTGTTCGATTTTGTTCGCTCGCAAGATATTTAATTTAAAAGATTGAATGGTCAAAAAATATATGTATTTATTGACGTCAATAGAAATGGTTATAATTTTTTTCAACAAACATCTTTTGAAATTTGGAAAGGCGTAAAATGAAGACCTTTCTGTACTTTATAAGAAACCAACGACATAATATTTTCAAGTAGTGATATACGGTTGCAACATGGCATCCGAAACGTCAAACCTTTTATTAAAAGACGCACGGCAAAACCCGAAAGTTTCTAGTTTTAGTTCTAATCTTCGTACTTATACGTATTTATTTACTTATTTTTTAGATTCAATTCTTGCTGGTGCACCGGGTGTATTAAGCAACCCGTTTATGCATAGCTTGGCATCTCCGCTAGCAGCTCCATATGCTGGTGGAGTCGCTGGAACTCTACCGGGACTAGGAGGGTTTGCTTTAGGACAAACCGCTCCAGGCCTTAGAGGTCTTACGACTCCTGGACTTCCTCTGGCAACAGTGCTTCTAGTTAGCAATCTAAACGAGGAGGTAAGTTTCGTAAAAAAAACGGCATAAATTATTTTGAGTTATAAGTTATAAGTCAAAATTCGAAAATTATACAGAATGAGCAGCATAATTTGTATTCAAGGTTGCTTTAAGGAATTCTTTTTGAATTACTTAAATCTAAATGAAGTTTATTATAATTTAATCATTCTGTTTAATAACTGTACAGTTCACACTGAAAAATATTAAAGTATCAGATTTCTTTTTATTTAAATTAATTTTAGAAACGTAAGCCTTACGATTAACCATTTCTCTCGTCGATTTATTTATTTTATTATTTTTCTTTTAATGTTCTAGTGATCGTTTTTCGTTTCGTTTTATATTTTTACTTCGTTAAACACTTTAACCCGCCTTGTGAACTGTATTTTTTAACAAATTAATAACCGTTTCTAAGTTATCCAAACACTTATAAACGGATTATTAACAAATTTCTTATAGTCTTAAGATTGGAACAATTTAAGTATATAATTTTGTAAATAAATCTATATGCAGGGTATTAGGTAAATATTTTTTTTAATAACTCAACAAAAAGCATTTTTTGAGTTCAATACGTGTTCAAGGTTCTACCAAAAAACGCGATCTTTATGCTGAACATTGATTACAGAAGCTTTTTCTATCTTAATCGATGGATGATGTAACTGCACATCAAGATATCACTTCAGGATACTTAATCCATTCTCAAAATATTTTTTTTAAGAACAATGCATGATAATCACGTAAACAATCTTCTAGAACCAAAATCTTAATACTTTACGGCGGTGTCCGTGCGCTTCTCTTAAATATAAATATCTAATTGTTATGAAGGTTAGATAACAAAAAATGTTTACCTAACACCCTGTAGATATAATAATTTATCTAAAAATTGTTTCTTTCCACTTTTTACTCGAACACTTAAATTGTTTCCTACATATGATTTTTTTTATAATATATTTTTGAGCTGCCAAAAATACTAAATAAAAAAAAATAATAATAAACTGGGCAGCGAAATAACCAAAAACAATCTCCCTCTGTTGTGTGCTACGTTTATTACATTACTACTGTCATCTTTCTCTTTCCGTAGATGGTCACGCCTGACGCTCTCTTTACCCTATTTGGTACGTCTGCACAGCTACTTAAAAAATAAACTAAGTATTAAATCATCTTAGTTAATATCGGGAAAAACTCTGTTCTTTTCAATTTTAATTTATTAATCTAAATTTTTGTAAGAAATACGTAATAATAACAGCCTTAAAATGATTTTCAAGGAAATGATTTTTTTTTAACATTATACTAATAAAACATTAATAATACTCTATTTTTCTATTATCTTTAGTTTCTTGCATTTTTTTGTATATAGAAGGAAATAACAGAGTTTATCGCCGTCGTTTGTGGTTTAAAATCTAGATATGTGTGTGTTTTTAGCCTTTCCCTGTCATCGTCGTAGCAATAGATCTGACCTAGATTTTAAACTACTATTTGTCATGTATTCGTTTTAATTTAGCGACAGATTTTATCTATGTATACAAGCTTTCTGCTTAGAAACCTTTTGTCATGTTTTTTTTTTATATTATACATCTCGTGCGTTAATTTACATTTTTTTCCAACAAAATTACAACTTTATTTTAATATAATTTTCACGAGTATCATTATTTTAATTGCATGTTCATTGTCATTATTTTTCCAAAGTTTTCATTTTATCTATTTTTATTTCGAATGCTTTGTGATTTATTGTTGTATTTTTTTTTTTTCAATTCTTTACGTTTTATACAAATATACATGTTCCTTATTTTTTTAAAAATATATCGATGTTGTAATTCATTTACAAAAAAAAGAACAAAATTTATAATTAAATGGTATAATTTTGTTTTTTTTTTCTTATTTTTATGCTTCATTTCGACTAATTTCGTTATGGTTTAATTTTTCTTTTATAAAGGGGTCTATGGTGATGTGCAAAGAGTAAAAATTTTGTACAACAAAAAGGATTCCGCTTTGGTTCAGCTAGCAGAACCACATCAAGCACATTTAGGTTTGTATTAAATTATTTAATGTGAAATTGGCGATTTAGAAGAAATTATTTTTTACAGCTATTACTCATATGGATAAATTACGAGTGTTTGGGAAAAACATTCGTGTGATGCTCAGTAAGCATCAATCGGTTCAGATGCCTAAAGAAGGTCAACCGGATGCTGGCCTAACAAAGGATTACAGCCAGAGTCCTTTGCATCGATTCAAAAAACCGGGATCGAAAAATTATCAAAATATTTATCCACCATCCTCGACGTTGCACCTCAGCAACATTCCTGCTACTATTAACGAGGAAGACATCAAGGAAGCCTTTACTAAAAATGGATTTGTTGTTAAAGCCTTTAAGTTCTTTCCGTAAGTACATTTTGTAATTACTTCATTTCATAATTATAACGTTATAAATATTTGAAAAGTAAAAGAAAATTAAAGGAAGGTTGTGTTTACGTTTAATTAAGCCGAGGTCGCTTACAGCTGAGGCAGTGTAACATATGTGGCCCATTTTTATATTAATGTGAGATTAATTGTAGCGCTTCGGCCGCATGCGACCTCGACTGAATCTATATATATGTGGCAAACTACTATGATGACATATCAAATTGTATTAAAATTTAGCGGGGATGCAAAAAATTCAATAAAAATTAGTACATTCCATTTAAAATAACGATGTTGGGGTCCATTTCCGGTATAACCGGAAGTTGGAGAAAACTGAAAAGATTTTAGCTGAAACGAGCACCTCGGATAAACGCTATATGCAAATTTTCAGAAAAATAGTGCCAGTAGTTTGCTACATACATATAGACTCACCTCGTCGTGACAGACCCTGTACAGGGTGGTTCAAATTCGATGTCCGAATAGGCTAACTCGAAAACTATAAGAGTTAGAAGAAAAGTAGCTTACATGTCATGATCTCGTTTTTCGAGAAACTGCTAATGCCGAAAACCTCATAGCGCTATCGTCTTTTGTTTTTCCCCTAGAGGCCAAAATTGAAAATATCATAAAACCAATAAGTGCAATTATCTTGGTTATTATTATAGGTGGAGTATTATAACTAAGACATTATATGGACACTTTTTTACAGAGAATTTGATGACGTGGTCAAAAAAATTTTGTCGGTTTTAGATTTTGAGATATTATCACAATTTTCGTTTTTTTAAATGGAAACAACCATTGATTATTTGCTTAATAAATTCGTTATTTTTTTCTGATTCCAAAAATATAGGGTTTGACAGGTCTATTTCTTATTCTTTTAGAATAAAACTAAAAATAAACTTTTCTTTTAGTGTCGTCGAAGAAATTAAATTTACAGTTTCCTGTAAATTACGGTTCTATAACTAAAAATTAAAAAAACATATTTCTGATATTTGAAACAAATATATTTGTTGAACTGTTTAATTTATATATGTTTTACACAAAAGTTGGAATAGATTGCATTATTTCACATTTTTTATTACGATTTAATATTATTTTTAAATTACTTAATAAATTATCGATAGATGGCGCT